AGAAGTGATAATTGACTTTTGTGCAGTAAATGATGGAAACAAAGAAAGAAATAAAGTTGAATTTCTTCCATTATTCCTCGACAAATGAGGTGTTTTTCTAACACAACTGTGCACATCAACTCTAGAATTATATTTCACCGTGCTGAATGTATCATCCAACAACTTACTCCTCTGTATACTATCTTTAAGCTAAGTCACATTTGTATTTTTATTTATTTTGCTCTTACTCTCCATATCTTAAAAAAATGTTGTTCAATTGGGGAAATAACCTTCAGAAATTCAGTAGTTTCTATAGTTTTGAAACCCTGTAATCAATAAATTCTGTAATCAATCAAATTCCAACAGCACGAAGAGCTGCTTTAAATCAACCATCATCGTGATACCGTCCACAGTCCGAGCCTCAGGAAACAGAGTTCTCTGATCACAGTGTCGGAGATTTGATCTGCAACTCCTCCTGTTCACGTGTTGAAATGTCCTTGAGTCAGACGCTCGAATTACTGCCAATAGCCAGACGAGCACCTTTGAATGGCAGCTGAGTGTTTTGTGAATGGGTCAAAAAGAGGCAGGTTGTAAAGTTATGTTGGATTAAAATGTCACACAAATGCAGGTATTCACCGTTCACAGCTGAAGAACGCTGATCACGTGTACTTGGTTGGGGTGGAAAATGTGCAGAACTCCAAATTAATGACTCATTTAAAACCTCTACACCAATGGCAATGAGTATGTTTAAATAAAATCTTGTGTGGTGCAGCTTTAAATTAGTATTTTTATTGTTTTGTGACAAATTAAATGTTTTCATGAACCCAACTGAAGGAAGTTTTCTTGTAGACAAATACACTGTTCAACACAATATCGATCTTTCAAAGTATAAATATTGCAGAAGTTAGCTGGCAGGTGCCTCAGTATTTCAAAATAAAAGCGTAGACATTGGCTGCTTGTCATTATGCCAATTTGTCTCCTCGTAGTGGAAAGAAACACAAACCTGGCAAATGAAAAATCTTTTATTCTGTAGCGTCAGCCGTCCATTGGTTTATGAGGTTCTACACAGTGGTGTCATCCGTTCAATCAAACCGACACCCATAAAGATGCAGCATTTATACATCGCGCCACTTGACAAAAGACTGATGCATTCGGATCTGCATGTTTTTCTTCATTTTAAGCTCCTCTGAAGCCTCCGTGTCTCCTTGAAATGAATTTCCATAACTAACAGAGCCTCAGTCATGGTGGAGGAGGAGTGAGGATGCAAGGAAGCATAATTTATCATCATGAAAAACTTGAAGTCTGTCTCTAACTGGACAGTTTTTGTCCAAAATAACTCTAATATGAGCAGTAAGACACCAGTTTGATCATGGCCTGAGATTTAATCCTTCCATACAACTGGAGTATCCAAAGTTTTTTTTTGCAGTTTCAGCTATTTTGACTGCATAAAATGACAGAGTGTAATATTTCCACCAGGTTTGCTTCATAGTGACTCAGTGACCTGGAAAGTTTAGTGTCTGCAGATTCTCAGTCTTCCCTAAACAAAGCCATCTATGTTAAACTGGATCGTCTATGTCTGGCCAGCACCACTTATCAGGTACTTACAATGCAGCCCTGAGGTTCCAGTTTCACCACCATTACTGTCTCGGGTTATGTGAATGTCAGCTGCTAATGAACCTTGAGTCATGTGATTTAGGGATAAGAAAAAATACCTGAAACTCCTCATCTGTCAGTTAGAACTGAAGAACCTGCTTCAAGAACCAAAGGTTGTTTTCAGCTGAAGCGCTTAATAAACCAATAATCAAATGTGTCACTCAGGCCTAAAGAGTATGTTGATAGTATTTCCTACCTCATGATATATTTGGAAAGCAGATGTTTCTGCTATTTTGAGACCTGCATTGTTTTTGCTAGCTAGCAGTTTCCTTGGTTACTTTGTTGTGTTTCTATGGGTTTTTTTTTTTTTTCTGCCGCCATCAGTGGAATTGCTTTAAACTATCAGCTGGTTGTGTATTTTATCATCTGCATGCTAAAGTGGGACCCACTCACCAAACCATCGCTCCATAGCGCCACAAGTGGCCAAAAAAAAGCTCAACAGGTCACCTTTAATCTCAACTATGGTTTGTATAAACGAGCTACAGCTTCTGTTGTCTGTTGTCACCGAGTCATTGCACGAGTCCTCATGTCTGTGCGTCTGTCTGCCTGTCTGACGGTTTGGTTCATTGGTTATGGTCCCTTGTGTAGGAGGGTCCCTACGTGATGCTCAAGAAGAACTGGGAGATGTACGAGGGCAACGACCAGTACGAGGGTTACTGCGTGGACCTGGCCTCGGAGATCGCCAAACACATCGGCATCAAGTACAAGATCTCCATCGTCCCCGACGGAAAGTATGGCGCCCGGGACCCGGAGACGAAGATCTGGAATGGGATGGTCGGGGAGCTGGTGTACGGGGTAAGAACTCTGGTTTTCACACTTTTTGGTTCCTCTACAGTCTAAAAATATAATGTTGAGGCTCCACAAAATCATGAATGTAACAGTTTTTTGAGTAACTTTTTGAGTTATGACAACTTCTAATGAGATTATGTTTAACCAGCACAATACAGTGAGGTGAAAGAATTGTATAGTGGCCGATGGTGCCAACGACGTGCATATACACAAATGAGCTGCATATACATGAATGCATTGCATAAACAGAAACGCACTGCAACAAGAAAACTCTGCAAACAGAAACGCACTGCAACAAGAAAATGCTGCCTATCCACTCACACAACGGAAGTGCCCCAGCACAAATTTTAAACCAATACATTTCAACTAGAGCTATCTTTTGTGTCTGGGACACGTTTTTCTCCTATTAGACAGCGCATATGCTGTGATGTTTTTGTCGTTCTTTTCTTCCGACAGTCAGGCATTAACCAGTTTTATTGTTCTGGCCCGTCTACACTCATAACTATAGAGATCACTATACAGATGTGTGCGCCCACACTGACCAACATTAGTGTAGTCTGAAACAAAAATGTTTGATCATATTTACAGACAAAACTGCACGTTCCTCCAAATTCATTGTAAATTTACAAAGTATGTAACAGCTGATGGACAAATAGGTTTCAGATCAGAAACTTGTCATTAAAATCTACATTATTCATTCAAACTGCCACCAGAAAGCACATTAAAGGAGTTTTTATTGTAAAACATTTTTGCAGGAAGAGTTTTTTTGACAGTAGCTTCACTGAAAAAATGCAAAAACTAAAACAGCTGGTGAAAGTGAAGGAAGGAATGAAAACAGACAAGACTGATAAGTGTAACATGGCACAGCTATAATAAGCATATATGAAATAATTATATTTTTAAAAAGTGCTGCATCAAGAAGATGCAGAGAAAACAAAACTAGAAAGAAAACTTAGCACCATTCTGAGTTGATATTAACAGTCGACATTAGCATCAACAATTAATAAAAACAGCAAGACTTTTTATTATAAAACAAAAAATATGCTTCAAAATGGAGTAAATTCTACATAAAGGCTGGTTCTCTGTGCAGTTAAGGTGAATAAAACTGCTGTTTACAGTAAGTTAAAAAAGATGAAACACTCCTAATGTCTTGTTACATGCTGAATATTGCTTTCACAGGAGGTTTTCTTGTACAAACGGTATTTTTCGATCTGTGTCTGAAGCACCGCTCTCGTGTGTTGTTTGTTGTGCCGGTAATTAAACCCATCTGAAATGTTCTCTGGTGATATTAATGCTTGCAGGACGAGGGGAATTAGTGAAGCATTAGAGCAGAACTTTTGGAGGGGTGAGAGAAGGAGGTTGGGAGCTTGTTAAAGAATCTCCGAAGCGACATTTAGTTCGGGAGCAAAGAGTCTTTCTGCTGCTGACCTTGCTGTGGGATCAAAACGATGTAAGGATGTGGATTTGGCATGATGGCGGGATTTTAGGGCTTGTTTTGTGCTTCTGTATTTGAATGTTTTTGAGGACAAAAACATCCTTTCCTGGACAGAAAGGTGGAGGCTGCATTCACATCTTGTTTCTTTCACACATTTACCACCTTCAGACTTAATCACTGTAACACACTTCATTCATTCACAGGCATCAATTAATACAAAACACTGCTGCTGCTGCTAAGCTTTTCAGTGATTTCAGTAAAAACGGCCGCTTTGTTCCAGTCATTGCTGAATTTTACTGGTCACCACCTAATTTTGGAATCGATTTAGGATTTTATTGCTTGTTTTTAAAGCATTGCACAAGCACCATCTTACATTTTTGATTGTTTTAACATCTTCTGAGCCTGATCTAGTTGAGATCCTCTGGCAGGAACTTCAAGTCTTCTTTTAAAATACAACTGAAAAACTTATTTTATCATTTAGCATTCGCATGACTTGGTTTTACTGTTGTTGTGAAATATTTTATTTTGTTTTTTATATAATTTTCTATGTCAGTCCTTTGCTTTTTCTGTATCTTTTGCATTTTGTCTGCTTGGTTTTATCACCTATATTTAACGTGATTTGTATCTAATGCATTTAAGTGAAAATGGTAAATATGCTATTAAACTGTTTTCTTCTTATTTATTGTTTTATCGTCCAGGTCTAGAAGCGTTTCCAAAAATAAACTGAAGCGATTTAGGGGTCCTAAAGCACTGAAAACATTTAAGAAAACAATTAAAAATGGAGATTTTTCTTACCAATGTTAAATTAAAACTGGATTTTGCCTCAACTGTGGTTTAATTAAATACTTTCCCAAATCAATGAATGTCTCTTATTCTGCTGTGTATCTCTGAGAACATTACAATCCAACCTTTATGCAATTCGCTTTAAAAATGGTCAGAAGATAGTTTATGCTGTGAAGTAATGATCCTTTTCATCTTTACATGAGCAGCAGCAGCATTTTGTTTAAAACATACACACAAAGCTCATACTTTTTTTTTTTTTTTCCTTTTCGTGTGCGCGATGAGTTAGGTGGCATTTTCACGACGTGGCATTTCTGTGTTCGGCGCCGCAGTGACTCACTGTGAAGTCGACTGCAGCGAGTGCGAGCAGAGTCGCAGCTCGGCGAAGTGTCAGCACTGATCAAGCAGTACGCTGCACTTTTGGTGTAAAGACTAACCAGGTTGGTCAAAAGTGCAGGAACAAAGAGTGCAGCTCTGCTCTCTGCTGTTTCATCCCTCTAACAAGCACATCGTGGCTGGAAGACATGCTGGGCGGCGATGGTTTAATAAAAAGTCCCTTAGCAGGAAAACTTAAGTGTGGAAACTGTGCTTTTTGTCCAAGTGCAGTTGTTAGAGCACAATTTTGAACTATTTGGAGCCAGAAGTGTTCTTTTTTTTGTACATTTTCCACTTATCTGCCTCTCAGAGTCTCCTGTTTGCTTTAAATGTGGAAGTAATGTGAATTTTCTTTGTCAAATAAACCAGGGATGAATTAGATTTCACACATTTCCAAACGAGTTAAGTGCAAAGGGCTGAGATTTAGAGTAAAGATGCAAGTGGCGGGTTCTGTTGTGTGATCGGGGCCAGGGAGGAAGCTTTTTCAAGCGTTCAGGGGAACATCTCAGGACATAGAAGCTGTCAGCACTTTCCCCCAGTCTAAGACTTTGCTCATTCATTTCTCAGCTCTCCCTGAAAAGACCCACCACAAAAAGCCCTGCCTCTTTTTAACCTGCCGCGTATTTTAGCGCAACACTAAACGCCCCGAGGCTGTCATCTTAGTGCATTTTGCTGAGGATGAAAGAACTTAAATCTCTTTCATTTTCTTGTCCCTGTTTCCTCCTTTTCCCACCTCCTCAAGTGTCAGATGGTCGTAATGAAACTTTAAATTCTTGCTGATATTAAGCCCTTTTGCTCTTGAGTCAGGCAGACAAGGTCACGAGTGTTTGCTAAGTCACCAACTGTAATCTGGTTTGTGGATTTTGTGCACTTTTTTTCCACAGCTGCAGGCCTTTAGAGGTGGCCGTATCCCTTTTTTTGCCGTCCTGTGCTGTAAGCATATTTCCCTGACACATTATTTTATCCTCCCTGCTGATTCTCCCGGAGTTTCTGCTAAGCCTCGGAGCATTAGAGCATCAGAATTTCTTTTTCAATTTTCTTTTTATTTCTCCCTCTGTCTTAACTCCGAGATGTGTTCGACTGCCGTCGGTAACTCGATCGTTCTGAGATTTGTTCAGTCAAGGGAGGAATTCAGGATGTGAGCAATGTTGTGAATGACAATGACACGAGCCGAGGAAGAAATTGGGTAATTGTTGTTGTTTTGTTGCCTGGTTGCCGGCTGACTGTTGGCCTTTGGGATGTTGTATCTGTGACTAAGTGGTGTTTGATTGTCGCACGGTTCAGCTCAGAGGGATGATCCATCATTTTGCATTTGTTTATCTGTCATCAGTTGAGATTTTGGAGATGCTTTCAGAGCGGCTAATAATCAAACTCCTCTGAATAATCCCACAGAAAGCGGAAATCGCTGTGGCCCCTTTGACTATCACGTTGGTCCGGGAGGAGGTGATTGATTTCTCCAAGCCCTTCATGTCGTTGGGCATTTCCATCATGATCAAGAAGCCCCAAAAATCTAAGCCGGGCGTGTTCTCCTTCCTGGACCCGTTGGCCTACGAGATCTGGATGTGCATCGTGTTTGCCTATATCGGCGTGAGCGTGGTGCTCTTCCTGGTCAGCCGCTTCAGCCCGTACGAATGGCACACCGAGGAGCCCGAAGAGGGCACCGACGGTCCGCCAAGCGACCAGCCCCCCAATGAGTTTGGCATCTTCAACTCCCTCTGGTTCTCCCTGGGCGCCTTCATGCAGCAGGGCTGTGACATCTCCCCCAGGTAAGACGCACCTTCAACACACTGTTTCAGCTTTTTTAATGAGCATTTTCCCACTTTGTTAACATCCTTCCCCCTCAGCCTGTAGACACTTTGCATGACCCCTAGGCCAATTATAATCACAATATGCCACCACATAAGTTGGGATCATGTGGACGACCATACAGACGACTCCGTTTGAGTGTCGTATCCTTAAATCCCTCGCCTGTCAATCCAGTTAAGGCCGTCATCATTATTTCAAATGTGCTTGATTGACACAAATGGAAGCAGAACGAGTCCCGATGCCCTGCTGAGACGAGCAAACGTCTGCGACGGTGTAGAAGAAGAACAACAACACATTAGCCGGTTGTTCGGTCCTGATGTGTTTAATCTCGTTTAACATCAGCGACACTAAGAAACAGTCGAACTCAGCTGATTTTTAAGTGTCTGCATGTTTGCAAAAGACAATAATTTGCAAGTAAGGAGTCGTGGTTGTGGGATTCTTTTCTAAGAATACATATATTGCTTTATTTACTTGATATATTTACACAGAGATGTTTTTACTTTATATATTCATATGGAGACTTAATTACTTTATATCCACATATAACTGGTATGATGTGAAAACCTCATAATTTTTTAGATGTAAAATTTGACTCAAGATGTTGAATCTTGCAGTTTTATGTTTATAATTTGAGGAAACAGTTCAGCCTTTAGGGAAATATTTGTATTTGCTTTTTTCCTGAGACGGGCATGAGACATTTAATGTAAATCTAATGTGTGCATTAAGTGTGTATCTACTCACTGTTGAGCAGGGAGAAACAGCTTATCTGGATCTGTCCAGAGTTCAGATGAATGCCTACTTATACCTCTATGACGCTCTGTTGGGTATGTAACTATGTCAGGAAGACTATAAATGACAAGAAGAATTGGTCACAGATGATGATGTTTGCTGCAACAATCGTGACCAGGGAGAAAGTTATGCTTTGCAACTTTGCAGCACAACGCAACCTAACTGAACTCTAACCACACATATGTAGATGTTTTTTAATAATCCGTAAGGTTTTACACACACATCTGTAAGCAATTTATAGGGTAGAATTTGTCTAATTTACAGGCATTCCTTGTAAGTTGACATCCATGTAAAAATTGTATTATATCCAAAAATATAATTTTAAAAGTGGTTGATGAGTTTTAGTCTTAACATAATACACAGCTAAAAAAACAAAACAAAACAAGCTATTTGTTAATTATAGCGCCTAAATGTCTGCCTTGGTTTCCACTCTTAATGCTAAGCTATGCTATGCTAATAGGCATCAGGTTGATAATAGAGTTCCCAAAATGCTGAACTATTCCTTTAAATGCAAACTATTTATTTTGCTTCCTAAAGATGAACATTGTGAGGTTTTCATCTTCCACTCATGAAACATAATTAGTGTAGATTAATGAAGTCAATGAAGTAAGTTACTGGACATTAATGCATGAAGACTGTAGTTTAAACATAATCTAGAGTAATTATTAAGTATTGATATGTGTGTTGTGTGTTTTGTAGCTCCTGTGTGTCTTATCTGTTGCTGCTCATTGTGTGTGTGTGCTGCACCTGTACTCCGATATCACACCTGTTGTGTTTGTACACGGTGTGATTGTGAGACAGAGAGAGGTTGTCTAGTATTGATTTTCTCTCTCTCACTCTCTCTCTCTGTTTTCTCCAGCCATATTGTTCTTCACTGTCTGACTTGCGTACGCTGTGTTGTCTGCTTGTAAGGGAATTAGGTTGTCTCGGTGTCTGTCAGCTTTGGCCGGTGGTGCCTTTATTTTTGCTCTCACCGTCTGCGTATTTGAGCTCCAGTTACATCAGTTCTCGTTGGAGCAGCCGTCTGAAACCTGTGTGTCTTTTCATTGCTTCTCTTCTCTTTGTCCAAACTACGAGACCCAAACCCGGCACTCCTGGGGGCTTTGTGCTGCCAGTGTGGTGTCCGGTACATGTGGCGTACTTTGGAACAGTGGAGAATCGGGGCTTGTGACAGTTTGCTGTTGTGACTTAAAAGGGCTGGAGGGAATCTTTGTTTACCGATCAAAGATCAGGCCTCCTGTCTGTCATCCCACCCTGGCATCCTCTCTGTTGACATGGCGAAGCCTATAGACTGGTAAAGCCTGTAATTCTCAGTGGTTTCTCATCTCCTGTAAGGCCTTTCTTCGCAGTTTGAATGGCTTTGTCAAGCTTAAAGTTCCACCAGATGATTTGTTTGGGTTATTTTAAGCTGCTGCTGCTGCTGCCTCCTATAGTTATTTTAAGTCTTTCGTATAATACTTCTTTTTATCTGTTTTTAAGCCCTTATGGATGTTGTGCTGTAATAGAGTTGGTAAGATTTTAGGAGATGAAAGGAGGACCAAATCCAGCCTGTATCTTTCAGCCTCTCCCCACACCGGAGCAGAAACACACAAGATGGAGGATCCCGAGGTACATTATAGCCCAGTTTCACGTAAGCAACCTATAGAGGAGGCTGTAGTGGGCCTGAGACTGTGATTAAGCGCACTCATTTAGGGAGTACACTCGCTTTGTTCACATGTGTGCAGACCGTCGCCGCCATAACCACCCCATCTCCGCCTGTGTTCTGCAGATAGGGACTTTAGAGCTGCACAACAATGTCGCGCATCAGAATAAAAAAAAAAAGTCTACATTTCAACCCTCTCTGTCTCTGGCTGTGCTTTCCACCTGTCACTGCTAATCCCACGGGCATCTCCCCAATCCATCAGCGCAGAGCCCCCAGAGCCCCCAGAGCCCAGGGTTGCTTCTGCTCCCGTTTAGCCTGACAGGACAACATGCAAATCGCTCCGCACGGGGAGAGATTAGAGGAGGAAGTGACAAGTTCAGAGGTGAAGGGGTTGAATCTGGGGCGGCCGGACGGTGGAAACTCAGTCTGCATGCAAGCACGGTGTCTCAAAGTTTTCCGGGAGTCTACATCTTCATCCGCTGCAGACAGATTACATAACGAGTCCATGAGCTGTGCACATAATCTCCAGTGTTTGTCGCTTGAAACAGTTTGGGGAGGCTTTCAGGATCAAGTTTTGGTGAGGTTAGTTTTGGTCGCATCTCTGATGGTTGACTGGAGGTCAGACGGTGTCAGTTTTAATCAGACATCCCAGAGGTCCGTTTAAAGTAGCGCAACTAGTGCAGGGGAGAGATATCAGCCTTCATACAAGAACATTTTCATTGGCATCTTTCTGCTAGTTTCTGCATGAGCTTGTTGTAAAATCTGAACCCGTTGAATGTCACCTGTTCGGGAGGGCGTCCACATTAATCGCTGTGTAAGACCTGTTGTTGCTCTTCACTTAGATAGACAGTTTATTGATCCCTTGCAGGAAATTACTTTGTCACAGCAGCAACCAACATCAGTCAAGAACCAACATCTGACTCTGAACATAAAACGTTTCCAGCATGACTGGTATTCACAGAAACACTAAAACGTACTGAAGACTGAGGAAAAGCAAAGGAATGAAAGTATTTCTATTATGCAATATGCAAAATATACAGTATAGAAAAAATACATTGTGCAAAACATAACTTGCATATTTAGAATCTCCATATAACACAAAATAGAAAAATGTCTAAAAACACAAGGAACAGTCTCAGAAATACATATAACAACTGCATCGTAATACATATATTCAGGAAAGTTTTAAACAAACTCCATTCATGAAACCATTTTATGCACATGTGCAGGTTTATAATTTAACTTTGAAGGTCTACAAGAAAAAGTCAGATTAGCTGCTATTTGGCAAGTCCAGCTGAAAGTGAATTTTCAAATTTTTTTTCCACTCCAGCAAAAAAAAAAAAGATGTGTCTGTACATTTCTGTTCCATTTTAGCTCCTGGTTCCTTCAGGGCCAAGTCCGTCTCACCTCAAGTGAATCTAAAGATTGTGATTGTGAAATTGAGGAAGGTTTTTTCGTTTGTTTTTTAAAATTTGCTTTTTTCAAACAACTTTTTTAAAATCAGCAGGTGCCTAAAAATACATCATGGAAACACAGCCAGTGTCATATGTGCACTTCCAGCCTCTTAATTCCTGCTTCACCTTCCACCAAATGAGGTTGATTTAGTGTTTCTATATTTTTCCGTGTGATTCGTCACTCGTCATGCCAACAGTTTTTACTCATTTCATGACACAGCTGACAGGAAAAGCAGAGGTTGAAATAGCACAGAGCGTCTTCCTCCTCCTCCTCCTCCTCCTCCTCCTCCTATCTCTCTCTTAATAAGGGTTAATACCCCCTTCTGCTCCCTCAAGGCAGCCCATAATAATTAATTCAGTGATTAATATCCCGGTCTCCAATGGTAATGTCTCCGTGGAAACAGGAGAAGAAGGGAGCTTAAATGAAATGGTGACACGATAGTCTTTTTAATTGACTACAAATCCCCCGTGAATAGAACTGGAGTTATTCTGGTGTTTCCTTCAGAGAGCTGCACTGCGTCTCATCACCAGCCACAAGATGTCAATAAAAATGTCCTGGCAGCTGTCTAGTCATGGCTGTTCCAGGTGTTTGCGGTCGCCTCCGTCTCCGGATGGATTATCTTTGTCTCTTCTGCTGAGTCATGGCTGCCACATCTCAGGCGAGCAAATGAGAGCGCTGTGATTGGCTTGATTAGTCCTGATTAGCTCAGATTGCGCGCATACTGATGGAAAATTTCCTGATGGCTACAGATGAGGCGTAACTTTTAATTTGAGTCGGGAATTTAGGCCAACAAAAGCAGCGTTTGAAAGGTGTGGGGAGGGGGAATGACGTTCAAGTGGGCTATCTGCAAGATTCCCATTATTCTATTAATTCAATGCCAATTAGCTTTTGTTATCCAGCTGTCATGCTGCATCGCTTATTGCTCATGTCAGTAGCACTCGTCCTTCTTTGCACTCGCTTGATTTGTTGCACTATTTGAGCAAATTATGGGCTGCGCTGGAGGCCCTCGTTGCGTCTACGCACAGTGTTGGACTTCAAAGTCAAGCACCAATTTAGTGTTCCTTGCTTTGATAT